GGACCAAAATAATTTTGACGAAGTTATAAGTGATTTTGCTGGCCGTAAGACTCTACAATTTTAATTTAAGACTTATACTAGACGTTATTTTTATAGAATACGTTTGAACACAGGCTAGACATGTGCATTACATGGTTTTGAAATAAATATTTTTCTTTTAGTTCTTTCGTATGATTACGTTTTTTTGTCAACAACACGTTTTAATCAATATTTTTATGACGTCAAAGGGGCGGCAAATTATGATTCCGCCCTGGGCGACAATGGCCACGCAACGCCACTGGATCTGCTATTTTATATCGACGTATGGCGTTTGAACTTGATTAGATTGTACAGATCACATTATATATGTCGTAGTCTTTTAGTGAAATCTGTCATTTCACGAAAAGCCTAGTCCGAAGCCTAGTCATTTAGTGAAACGCTGAAAATTTGTACGTGTGGGGTATTTTTCCTTCCGCTTCTAGATCGATAAGGGATACCATTTATCGATCTCGAATGGGAAGGGAATCCAATCGCTTGGTCCTGGAAAGTACACTGTGCACAGTTTCATATAAATGGCTAGGCGTTTCGTGAAATGACTGATTTCATTAAAAGACTACGACATATATATGTTTGTCCACAATATTCTGATGCACGTGCACTTTTCAATATTAATCCGACATGGGAAGATAACTTTAAAAATAAAGAGCCATGCAAAAATACTCTAGCTTTCATCCATAGAATTGGAATAGCAAACATACTGTGATATTCTTAAATTTTGTTTTTTTTTCGAGAGTAAATGTAACCTGATGCATTTTGTTCTGCGCGTATATCGTAACTATGACATAAAAAAAAGAAATTAGTATACAGGCTAATGACCTTAGAAGCCGAAGCCTCAGATGGGGTTTTAGAATGGGTATGCTCCGACAATGGGGGAGTCCCACAATACTCCAGACCTCCACCGAGAGTGTGCGTAATGCATTTCCCCACTTGTTAAAAAAAATAATGAATTTACTGTAAAAGCAAAACACGCCAATTTGAAGACTTAGGGTGGAATTCATAGCTATTACTTAAGTTAGACTTACACTTTACTCATACTTAGCGTCGTGGACTTAGTGGTATTCAAAGATATAATTGCTAAGGTGACACATGACATTATTGCATGGACGGACGGAGGGGTTTCTTAAAGGGGGGGGGGGGATGTTAAAAATTTTCCAACTTTCGAAATGCGAAAAGCCAAGCTAAAGAAACGCTACAATATTGGTACTTCTACTAAATTACGTTCAATAGTATTTTGCATACCTACATCTGTACATGGCACCTTGTAGCACTAGCACCTTCCGATATGTGACTTCATTTTCCAACAACGAAAAGTAAATAAACAAGCAAAATGATTTTCGCCCTAAGGCAAGTAACTCTAGCGAATTTTCCGCATGCATTGATCAGTATTTCCCAAAAGGCTATAGCTATGTGCACTATGTTTTTCTTTACTAAATGCATCTATAGTTAATATTCAAAGAAATGTCTCCATAAACCGACTTTATGGTTCAGTGGTAGAGCGTTGGACTATATAAATCCGGAGGTCGGGTGTTTGAACCTGGGTTGAGGTGAATTTTTCATTTGTGGTAGAGATGAGAATTACCTTAGACTAGTTTCGAGCATTCTGCCGGCTACTCCGAATTAGGTTTTCCTGCAGTTTTCCTAATTCGTAAGGTAAATACCGGAGTTATAGTACAGAACAACTTAAGACCTTCTGGAGATACACCTCTAAAAAGCATTATGCGGATCACTCTGTAATTGGGCGCAAGCCTGTTGAGGGCCCAGAATAAGAGAGGGGTAATAAATAAATAAATAAATAAGAGGGTGCCTCCCCCTCTTATCGGTTCGTCCCTGCATTATTGCTATAGTAACGCGCGAAATACGGACAGTTAAGCAGGAATACTAGCAGTAAATATACGTTCCACTTAAAACTAAACTAAGTGTGCACTTAGTAAAGTGTAAGTCTAACTGAAGTAATATCTATGAATTCTACCCTAAAGCCGCGTACTGACTTGAGCAAACGTGCGCGCACGAACGCTATTCGTGCAAATTTGCTCAAGTCGGTACAGACAAAAGTATATACGTGCGCGAACAAGTATTCGCACACGAATAGTATCCGTTTCTTGTCGGTGTTACATTCACATCAGAGCGTTTTGCATGCTCAGTTAGGACAAAGAGTAATATTCTTTGGTTAGGACTAGTTTTCGTTCATAGTTGCATGTGTCTTATTGGAGTACGACTGGCTCAGGGTTGTGCGCGCACAAACCATGACATAAAATAATTTGCACGCACAAACATTCGTGCGCGCAAATTTGTTCAAGTCAGTACGCGGCTTAAGACTAAGAATGTAGAAAAATTACAATTAAAGTACATAGCTACAATAATAAATGCAAAATGAGAAAAAATAACAAAAATAGCAAACATTGCCGAAAGTAACAATAATTATCAAGACTAATAAGTAATAACAGTATTAATCTTAAAATAAAAGTTAACGTAAACGCAAAAAAATAGAATAACCATGTATAAAGATACACAAATTAAACTATAACCTTATAAGAAATATATTTATGAAACAGTAATAGTTGGGAAAACAGTAAACTAATATACTCGTAAACGAATATTAATAAACTTAACATTCAAACTACTCTAGTATCTTAACTCGGGGGTTCTAGTATATATCCGCAAAATTTCCTGTAGTTATATCGCAGAGTGGAGATATACAGTGTGTCCCAAATCGGGTGGGATTGCATGGGTAACTTTGTTATTATTAAAGATAGAGAATTGCCTCGAATAGATTTTGTTTTGTTTTTTTTTATTCGTCACAGACTACTTGATTAAAATACAAAAACCGTTAATATAACTGGTACCTTATTTTCAATCTTATGTTATGATGGCTCGTTGAAAAGAGAATTAAAAAATCTATCAAGTAATCTAAAAATCCCATATGGCGCCTATTTAACTTTAGGAAGTTGGTAAATGTTCCTCAAAAGTAGCCATCTTGAATTTTTTTTTGACATCAATTCTAAATTAAACGTATCAAAGACAGTCACTTTTATATAAAACTTTTTTTTATATCTCTTATACTTTCGATGATATAAGACATTCAAGGAAATGACCAATTTTAGTTTTTTTCAATTTACGTCGAACCTATGCGACATTTTGAATTTCCAAAAGGAAATTTTAAATAAGCATCTAAAACTGCAAAACATTGCCCATTTAACCAATTCTCTATCCTTAATAATAACAAAGTTACCCATGCAATCCCACCCGATCTGGGACACACTGTATATCAAAACTTGTGCACATTGGGTAAATTGGAGATCTACGGAAAATGTTGGCATGTGCTGTAGGAGCGTAAAATGGAATGGGGTCCGGGAAATTTTTTTGCCTAAGAATGTTAAATGAATGCTTCTGTAATAACTCTGAGAAATCTAGTTGATTGTGGATAATGTAGGGATAGGTGTAAGAGAGGTGACAACACTGCAATGTAGTCATGGAAGTAGAGACGTGTATTAGTAAAGAATCCAAGTAAAGAATTATTAATTTCAATTACAAAAATCCTACAACTGAATACCGAACGATCCTTCACACATACATCATTTTTACAAAATATCTTAAGGGGTTGATTCTGTTCCACCAGATCAGCATAGCTTGTTAAACAAATTTTTTGAATCGGCATTAGTTTTACTTTTATTCGAGGTGCCTACATACTTACAAAATTTCATTTTAAATATCTTAATAAATAAAAAACTTACTACGTATACACTTAAGTCACACTTAAAGGTCTCTACCCACCACAACGTATCATACCATGACCGTAATAGGAACGTACCAGGCAAAAAATATTGTTTGCATGGAATAGTATGGGACTGTGCCCACTAGACCGTTTATTCACCGACCAGCACCGTAACGTGCCATGCACGGAGCGTCAACGAATATTTTGATTTTGACGGTGCCGATACGCTCCGTGCATAGCACGTGACGGTCCCAAACCGGTGCGCGCAGGCGCAGAAATGATGAACATACGGAAGTACATGACATTTTTTTCGTCGTCGACTAGGTCTAAATAATGCCCAGTATTCTCCCTCGACTTTTCGTTTCGCACCCTCTTCCTGACGCTTTTGTTTAAAAGTGTAACCGAGCCAACGGGAACCGTACGGATACGATACGCGGATGCTCCGGTCACTATAACCGTTCCGCACGGGTATGATACGGTCTAGTGGGTATAGTAGTCCGTATCGTATATTTTCCGTGCCTGTACGGTCATGATACGGTACGGTGTAGTGGGCAGATACCTTAAAACGTCTGTTGTAGTAGGAAATAGTATATTAAAGAACAAATTTCATAAGTAGCTGTTTTATCGCACGTGTCCAGTTTGGAAAACGAGCCGCGTAGCGGCGAGTTTTCCAAAGGACAAGTGCGATAAAACGGCTTATGAAACGAGGTATTTATACTACTTTTTCTATTTCGCGTGATTTCTATTGTAAAAAACTAAAAATAGTTCAACATTCTGTACTACTTCACATTAGTTGTAAATGTTAAGTTGGTAGCACTGGTTCGCTTTTTCAAATTGAAAATTTTGAAGTTTCAATTTTTGCGCAGATATGCAATTTTTGTGAAATAGAAATGGAAGAGCAGCACGAAATCATAACTTGCACGCCACCTGAATTGCGGGAAATAGCAAACAGTACCGTAGATAATTTGCTTCCGCAGAAATCGAAACTAAAATATGAAAAGGAATACCTTAAATTCGACCAGTGGTGTAAAGAAAATAAAGCCCAACACATTTCGGAGAATGTTTTATTAGCATATTTTGAATTACAAACTCATTTGAAAAAGCCATCGTCATTATGGTCAATGTATTCGATGCTACGATCCTACCTAAATGTGCATAAAAATGTAGATATATCAAGATACGTCAAGTTACAAGCACTGCTAAAAAGATTTTCGCAAGGCTATGAGCCAAAAAAATCAAAAATTTTAGATTTAGAGCAAATTAATCGATTTATTCAGGAGGCTGACGACAAGCATTATTTAGATACAAAAGTAAGTAGAATTTTTTGTTCTAGTGGGTAGGTACTAGCTACAGGAGTATCTTGTTTGTATTCTCGTTGTAGGTTATTTTAATAATGGGCTACAGTGGGGCATGCAGACGCGAGGAGCTGACTAATATGGCACTGGGCGACATCCAATATAAAAATGATATTGTTGTTGTATCGGTGCCTAAAACAAAAACAAATGTAATGAGAGAGTTTGTCATCACCGAGAAATTGTGGATTGATATTATAAAAAAATATAGCAGCATACGCCCAGTTAATACTTGCCATCAACGATTCTTTGTAACATACCGTAGTGGTCGCTGCATTACTACTTCGATCGGAATCAATACAATGGGCAAGACGCCACGAAAGATTGCAGAGTTTCTACAATTAGCCAATCCGGCACAATACACTGGGCACTGTTTCCGGCGTTCAAGTGTCTCACATTTAGCTAACAGCGGTAGTGACTTGGTCACCATTAAACGACATGGCGGGTGGAAGTCCTCCGCGGTTGCCGAAGGATATATTGAAACGTAGGTTCAACGAAAAGTGGAAGTTGCAGGAACTCTTGCCCAAGCAAGTAAATCATCCTCATCATTACATGGGATTCTTGCACAAGGATGTACATCAACACATGTAGAAAGTGCCGTTCCCAGTGCTATAGTTGAAGGAAATATAAATAGTGCCGAACACAACATCATAACCCACAATTTACCTGGTATCAAAGTCAATACACATGATGGAGCTGTTACCGTCAAAGTGTACAATAATTGTACATTTACTTACGCAGATAAGGACGAAATCTAAGTTTGTGCGTTCACAGACTAAAATCAAACAAGTCGATGACAAATGATGCTGCTTGGTTTCTAACGAACGAAGCAGTAGGACCAACCCCGTTTGTACGCCTACGCTTGCTTTTTGGTTGATCGCCGTTGATCGCTGACGATTGATCAATGGGACTGCAGCCTAATGGAGCTATAAACAACGCGAAATAGAAAAAGTAATTTAATATACTGAAATAAAGAAATTCAAACACGATACAGGTTATAGGTAACTTACTCTTAAACTTTTGAAATTTGACTTCAGTTTTGTAGTTATAGTCCGGGAGGTAGCGTCCTATTTGACCGGACCATTTTCGCAAAGTTCATCTTTCTACTATAGATTTTTGATCCATAACCTATCCACGATAGGGGCGTCAGCTTTTTCAAAAGCGTGGCTTAAGATGGCGAGAGACTAAGAAACACGTAAAAAATTGTTTTTCGGACCATTTTCGCAAAGCTGAAAATGGTATATATAATAGTGTACAATGTAAAAAGAGGATAAATAACTGTCAGCTGATATTTAAATGTGGCAAAACCTGTTAGCTGGGCGTCCAAAGTGTAGCGTAGCTTTAGCGCGCGCTAGCGCACGCGGCGACTTTGAATTTTGATGACCCAGCTAACACATTTTTCCACGTTGTCGTGTCAGCTACCAAGTGGTTTCCTTTTTTTGTGCCATAAACTGATGAGGTACTCATTTCCATGCATGCTGATGTCATATTATTGGAGAAAAATATGATTGAAAGAGAATACATGAGTAAAATGGTATCACATACTGTATAATAACATTATACATAAATTGAAACATTGTATTTTATAATTTGTAACGTGGTTAAGGACATAAAATAAATCAAAAGAGACAAAACAAACCAAAAAAAGGAAACTAATAGCCCTAACCACGGCTGCGACTGCTTACGGAGAGACTACTATAGGTATGTTGGTGTGAGATTATCTTTCAGGTGCTACTAACTTTTATTTTCCTGTTAGGGAGCCGTGCCCAAAAATTAGAAAATAGCCCTCTGGTGGTCGAGAAAGCTAAGGAGAAAATAAGACAAACAGTGGAAGATTGTTTAAATATTTTTGGAAATAAAGACGGCGTGTATTTATACATATTTATAATTTATTTATATTTAGATCCCCAAACTATGGGCGGGTCTCAAAATAATATATTTTTTGAGCTTTATTGATATCAATTGAACGAGGATAAATCCCAATAAACTTGGCTGCAAAAATTGAAACTTCCGCACCTCATGCGCGCAATAGCGAGAGGATTATTGATAGCTACAAAGAAACCAAAGATGAGACACAGAATCTAGAAAGCAGGGTGAAAGATAAACGAGCATTCAATTATAGGGTAGAGAAAAGGATTAAAGGAGCAAAAGAATTAGAAAGAGAGTAAAAACGGAGCAAGAAAAATAAAGGCTAATTTCAATATAATTTGCAATCACAAAAATAAAAGGAATTCTACTCTCACTATTGGTAAGAAAGCAAATAACAAAACTCCAACCGATTATAGTAGCTCAGTGGTAGAGCGATGGGCTACATAATAGCCGGATGTCGGGTGTTTGAACCTGAGCTGAGGTAAGAATTTTTCATCTGTGGCAGAGATGGGAATTTCTTTAGATCAGTTTCAAGCATTCTGTCGACTACTCCGAATTAGGTTCTCCTTTTTTTTGCAGTTTTCCTAATTCGTAAGGTAAATACCGGAGTAGTATAGAACGACTTAAGACCTTCTGCAGAGGCACCTCTAAAAAGCATTATGCGGGTCACTCTGTAATTGGGCGCAAGCATTTCCGAAGTTACTTAGGAATATTTTTCAAGAATTTGTGTACCGTTCGAAAGCTCATTATATTTGCTGTCTCACAGAACAAAAAGAAAGTCAACAACCACTCTGTAAACTGTATATGCACGAGAAGTGTAATAAAAATCTCAGTCGCGAGGTCTTTTCGTTATGATTGGAGATACAGGTATACATGTGCGAGACAAAATATGTCGAATTAATCAAGGTAATTTTTTTACTAAAACATTTTTTCAATTAGACGAACGGTTGAAGAAATATAAGAGGTTGAATATTTATTAAAAGCGTAACGCAAGCGCCTCAGCTCCTGGCAACACCGACCGACGCGACGCCTGCCTTTATTAACACGCACGCTGTCGCATAAGTCCGACTCAGTCACACTCCCGCAGACCTGGTCTGTTTTTTGTAACGCATTTCTTAAGAATTGTCTAAGACTCTAAGAAATGCGTTATTGGTTGCGTTTTGTCCTAACACGAAAATAAAAGTTAGTAGCGCCTAAAATAATCTTACACAAACGTACCATAATCGCTCCGTAATCAGCCGCAGCCGTGGTTAGGGCTATTAGTTGCTTTTTTTGGTTTGTTTTGTCTCTTTTGATTTATTCTAGGTATGTCCTTAACCACGTTACAAATTATAAAATACAATGTTTCAATTTATGTACGAGTATAATATATTATACAGTATGTGATACCATTTTACTCATGTATTCTCTTTCAATCATATTTTTCTCCAATAATATGACACCAGCATGTATGGAAATGAGTACCTCGTCAGTTTATGGTACAGAAAAAAGGAAACCACTTGTTAGCTGACACGACAACGTGGAAAAATGTGTTAGCTGGGGGCCATCAAAATTCAAAGGCGCCCCGCGCGCTAGCGGCCGCTAACGCTACGCTACACTTTGGACGCCCAGCTAACAGGTTTTGCCACATTTAAATATCAGCTGACAGTTATTTATGCTCTTTTTACATTGTACATTATTATATATACCATTTTCAGTCCGAAAAACAATTTTTTTTACGTGTTTCTTAGCCTCTCATACCAACACGTCACGCAGTCGCGCCAGTTGACGCTTGTTTTAAGTGTTAACTAAGTAAAAACTACCAGGCAGAATAGAAAGTAATTGAGCGAAAATGATCCGTAAAAATAGGACGCTACCTCCCGAAAGGCGTATTGCCAATGTATTGTACGGCACAGAGCGGTCCATTTTCTGCAGTGCTCAATGCTTTGGCGATGGTAGGTATACGCAATAAGTAGTCTGCCAATCCATCGTTCGCTAGAGATCACATTATAATGACGTTACTTATATACACTATTTTGTAGTAGATGCGAATGTGTGTCTAAACTCCGTTTTGTTGTCGGCTCCAACCATTTATCTCTATCGTTCATTATACATAATGTAAAACTTGTGTAGGCATTAAATTAAAAATATAGTGACCTAACATTTTTATAATTTTATGTCTTACCATTGAATAAATTATTCAATGGTCTTACTAACCTACCATAGCACATTTTATATCTGTGATACGCGTAACGCGGGCATAAAGTACCACTTTATTACTAAATCACAAGATTGGCCTTATTTCGTATAGTTTCTGGAACTTCTTGGTCATTCACGATGAATTGAATTATTTAAAATTACGTTTGACGTTTGGATGGTTTCAATCACATTAACAAACTCCAACCACGCATACTTAATCAAACATAATGAATTGTTTTGAAACGAATATTTACTTTGACGAAGAAAACTATTTGTAATACCCCAGCCACACACTCGTCGAGTAGCATGGGAAGTAGCGTGACGAGGAGGCAGAGACGTAGTGTAGCCACATCACTCGCAATGCCGCACGTCATGCTCCTCGTTCTGCCAACCGCTCCATGTTTTGTTGGTTTTTTGGGCGCGAGTCAAGGGATCGGCAATACGAGCGCGAGTGACTGGCCACACAATCGCGCGAAGCGCTGGCGGAAAGCATCATGCTCATTTTTTTAAATGACGAATAGATGTCATCCAACATCTGCGTTAGTGAAGACGACGAGAACGTATCTCTTTTTAGGAAATTGATGTCATTAGCTATACCAAAAATGCATAGCCAACAGTTTCGACATCCATCGTGTTGCAAAGGCAAATGCCAAATGCGTAGAGCAGGGCGATGAGCAGTGCGAGGAGCATAGTGTGGCTGAGGCAAGACATAACATTTTGTATGTACCACGGGCATAAACTCTCGGGCGACTAAAAAGCTCTCGGGCCATAGGCCCTCGAGCTTTTTAACTTGTCGCCCTCGAGAATATAAACATCACTACTATGCCCTTAATACATAAATAACTAATATAACTGTGCCATGCGTCTTTTAACAAAAATTGCGTTACTTGTGACAAAGGAATAAATTTTGATAAAGATGAAGTATGTATCTGCGATAGATGTTGTCTAGTATACCATTCTCTATGCTCTGGATTATCGCGAGAGGATATCAAGCTGTAGAAACCGGTGCAAAGCAACGACCGGCTTTTCACTGTTAATAACTAATAAGTGTCCCTCTGAAACATCACAGATATCGGAAATACTTAGAAGTCAGTCAGGATGGGGTTATTGTACAACACTTTCATTGCTTCAAAACATTCAAAAGAGTCTACGAAAGGGTACGCCAAACATTAAAAACCTGATAGAAATGGGCGTAAAATAGGCACTTGCCGCTTGCCGGTGAAATTCTTGAGACTTTTTGTTACTAAACGATTACTTTGGAGACGCTCTTTTATAAATATGCTTACCATCTCTACAGTACGGTTGCAAGTGCGTTAAATCAGAATCAATAGTATGAAAACATCGATGCTAAAATTAACGTTAAACTACGAGTGGGTGAAAAAGTTTGGCGGAGATTTGAGGTTCTTAAGTGACTTTATTAGGGACCCTAACATCGATTCTTAAAAAATCGCTTAAATTTTTCAATGATAGGAAATTGAAGGTGTAGTGTGTTTACGCAAATAACCAAGCGTAAAATATCGAACGCGATCGTGCGCAGATACGGACACGACGGTTCGAATCGAAACTTTCCCAAAAAGTCACAGGTGATGCCCCAAAAAAGCAAAATACACCTCAAAAATTCAAAAACCTTTTTTGCGTAGATCATCTAGATATGACGCCAAACGGAGCGAGATCCGAACCGATCT